CCATTTTGTCCCTTTGTGGAATATTCATGGTGTTTGGTACTTAGCAGTGTTTTTATAGTAATATCATATGTTCCCCAAGCAGAGTTCATTTGCATCTTTTTGTACGTGGGCATGGCAATTGTCTCTCTCTACCCATAGTACAGTATGGAATTGACCTTCTGACATTGCAGATTCTGCCTGGCTCCCATTTCCCCTTGTTTCCATTTTGTCCCTTTGTGGAATATTCATGGTGTTTGGTACTTAGCAGTGTTTTTATAGTAATATCATATGTTCCCCAAGCAGAGTTCATTTGCATCTTTTTGTACGCTCCATGCCACAGCCAAGGACTCCCCCCTGCCTGTGTTCTGCTACGTGAATCAAATGTCTTCTGCGTGTATAACACACACCTATATGTATTCACAAAGTTGTGTGTCCTGGCACTGGCATTGCAGGAAGCATAGAAGCTTTTTTTAATTTTATTTTTCTTTGCTATCTTATGGTCTCATAACTAGGAAATCATGAAAGTGGAGAAAAATCAACTTAGATTATCTATTCCACAGCAGCCACCCTCTGCCACTGTGCCGTCTGTCAATTATGCCCATAAATGGAGATGAAATGCACAGCAGTCCCATTCAGGGACACAAAAGAGGAGGGTCCTTAGTGAGGGAGATGTGGACAAGTATAACTTATATTGTTGGCAACATATAATTTGTAACAACTCCTGAATACTTCACTAGTCATGCAGTAAGAAACTAAACAGCCACTGACATTTTGACAGAACACATGCTTCTTCTTGATGTAACGCTGGTATCTTAAGGTGTGTAATTTGTTGCAGCAGCTGAGTAAAAGCTGTGCATTGTCCTTTCGTAGGTCTGTGTCTCAAATAACCGGGGAAGTACACTCACATGGCGTCTCAGAATGCCATCACTTTAATAAAAGCAAGAGACCAGATGTTGCTGTGTTTCTGCATGGGAAGGGGAGTTTTACAGAACAGGGTCTTTTACAGAATTCTTCACAACTTGCACATCAGCCGCATACAGTGACAGGGTCAGCCCTTGGACTGCAAGCCAGGCCAAAGGGAGTAGGGAAGGAAAGATACCGATGCTATGGCTACACTCCTGACCTTACAGTGGCACAGCTGTACCAGTGCTACTGTAAGGTCTCCTGTGTAGCTGTTCTCTGCCAATTGGAGAGAGCTCTCCTGCTGGTATAATTAATTCATGCCCATGTTGTTTGGGGTGGGGGATTGGAGAAGGGGTGTGACCACCCCACCCCCCGCACTCACCAGCAGCAGGAAGCGGAGCCATGTGGCAGAGAAGGCTGGGGCTGGATCAGTCCACTTCCTGCCGCCACCGGTAAGCGTAGGGTGGGCCCGACTGCTGCTGCCAGCACCAGGCAGGGCATGGTGGGGCCTGGGACAGATGGGGAGTTATCCTGAGTCCTTCAATCCTCCCCTCCTGCCCCGTGTATGGCCCTAGCAGAGAGACAATGAAGCTTAGCCTTCCTGTGGATATGTGGGTGAGCATGCGAAATATGGAGGCGGGTTTTGGAGAGACATGTGACCATGCCACCTGATCCTGGAATTCATCTTAAATCATGTACTTTTCCATGAGTAGCTGGGAGGAAGTCAAACTGAAACAATGGTCTCCCACCTTATCCAAATCCTACGTATAGTGAGGTGTGAGGTAATTTAGATCATTAGTCTCTCTGGCTACCCTGTCCAAGATGAATGCAGGGAACAACTCAGGGCATATCTGCACTAGGAAATTATTTTGAAATAATAACTCCCAAAATAACTATTTCGGAATGGCGTGTCCACACTACGGAGAAGCCGTGACATTAGTCTGAGGCAGGCTCCCTTAATGAGGATGCGCTACCTCAGCTTAGAGCTCCGGGAAGCACTGGGGGGTAATTACTTTTGAATGACTCTGGGGAGTAGTTATTTTGAAATAGCAGCAGTGGAGCATCCACACTACTGCTCTTGTGAAATAACTATTTTGAGATGAGCATTATTCCTCACGGAAAGCAAAAGTTATAATAAAATCACTTTTGTTTCTTTATAAACCCAGTGTAAATAATAGTTATCTGGGGGAGAGCCAGTAGGAATGCATAGCTTTCTTTACCCTGAGAAAGAGGGTGCACAAAATGAGCTCACCTCATATAAAACTTTATACATATTAAGATGGATTTATCTGGGGTATGGATGTTAAGAGGTGATTGCTCCTTGTTCTGACTTTCAGCACCTTGGCCAGCAATAGGAGCAGTAGAGAGGTCCTCCAAGCAAAACAGAGTGGCAGTCTCTGCTGCAGCCAATCAGGGTGCAGCAGGCTGATACAAAAGAAGCTGCTAGCCCTTCTTGTGAGCGCCCCTCAGTAGCGTCTACTCAATTGTCTGCAGGGGTGTGTCTAAACTACATGGCTCCGTCGATGGAGCCATGTAGATGAGGCTGATCGGCAGAGGGAAATGAAGCCGCGATTTAAATAATCACGGCTTCATTTAAATTTAAATGGCTGCCACGCTCTGCCGACCAGCTGA